TATGCTTCTCTCTCGCTGATATGTGTGTGGCGTGTGATATGTGTTGGGTGTGATATGTGTTTGTGGGGTGATATGTTGTGTTGTGTGTTGCATTGTGTTGTGTGTGTGTGATATGTAGTGTGTGTGTTGCATATGTGTGTGTGTGTTGCATATGTGTGTGTGTGTTGCATTATTTGTGTGTGTGATTGCATATGTGTGTGGTTGCAATGGATGTGTGTGTGTGCATGTGTGTTGTGTGTGTATGTGTGTGTGTGTTGCATATGTGTTGTGTCTGTTGCATATGTGTGTGTGTGTGCATATGTGTGTGTGTTGCACATGTGTGTGGGTGCTGCAAATGTGTGTGGTGTGCATATGTGTGTGGGTGTGCATAAAGGTGTCATTCATATTATCATCTCTGACGAACCCCCACGGGGGGGTAGAACATTTTAAATCTCAGGGCGAATCATTATGAACTCGAAAATAAAATTCTATACGTCAACGAAGATCGGGCTCTCAGATTTCCCTAAGGATAAATAAATATATCGCTCAGTATTACAAATTTTTCGTCTACAAGAAATGCGTGTTGAACATGACGCGCCAAAATCCTGTTTGGCGAATTACCGTTTTCTGTGTAAACTCCCCGTTTGTTTTCTCGTCGCTAGGCAACAGCTGAGCTTCGAGACTGAGGGCGCGAGATTTAAACAGCGCGCCGTGAATCGATTTTCTCTCTCCTCGCGAAAGAGAGAAAGGGATGGGAGAGTGACAGGAGGAAAACGCGCTCACTTATACGTTGTATGATCATGTTAAACACACCGATACTCATTATATATACATACGATACATACATATATACTTATACATTATATATATTTATATATAATATATTATATATTATATCATATATGTGTTGTGTGGTGGCATTATATATGTAAATATTATAGTATATAATATATTATATTAAATCGTATATTATACTATATAATAGTAATATATTATTGTGTCTGTGTGTGGGTGTGCATTATTGTTAGTGGGTGTGGGCATGTTGTGATTGGTGTGTGCATACTAGTGTTTGTGGGTGTGTCATATGTGTGTGTGTGATTATTATGTGCATATTTTGTGTGTGGTGGACATTGTGTGTGGTGTGCATAATTGTGTTTAGTTAGGTATATAGTGTTATTTGTTGATTATGTGGGTGATGCATGTATAGTTGTTTGGAGTGTGCATGTTTGATGTGTGGAGTGTTGCTTATTGATAGTAGTGGGTATGTATAGTTTGTGTGTTGGGGTCGATAGTGTTCGTATATCTGTGTGTGTCTGGCACTCTGCACTCTCGTGACCTCTATCTGCTGTAGTAGTGATCGATGCATTATGTCGTTTAATCGATATGCTTCCAATCATGATGTTGTGGTGCTAAATGTATCCGTCATTAATGTGGATCTCAGGTCGCCTCTGACACACCATGTGTCTATGTTGTTGGCCTCGTCGCCCCGTCTCGCCGCTCCCTCCACTTCTCCGCTCGCTCGCTCCTGCCTCGGAGTCGCCCGCTGTATGCAAATCATCCTCACAGATCTCGATAGGCGCGATTGGTGGTCTGAGGCTGAGTATGGTGGTTCCACTTGCTGGAGTGTGGAGTTATCGTCAGTATTCGGCCAGAGTGTGGTGTAATTGTGTCTCGAGGTGTTGAGTCCTCTCGCTCCACTCCTCTGCTCGCTCGCTGATGAATGTGACCTGTATGTTGTGGTGGGGCTGTACTTGGAGGTAGTTTGTGTGGGTGGGTTGATCGTTTGTAGTTTCATGGTGTTGTGGGTGTGCGATAGATCGTGGTGGTGATGTAGATTGTTGCGGTATTTTGAGTAAGGTGAGGTAGTGCGTAGTGTGTGGAGTGTGCGTATTGTCGCTCGAGGCATATGTGTGGTTGCAGTATGGTGTGAGTGGGTGTGCCTTGATATGTGTATGTGTAGTGTGGGTTCTGGGTGATGTGTACTTTTTGGTGGTAGACTGTATTGATTGAGTTTTTTTGGTGGTGTCATTGTGTGGTTGTGCGTATGTTTGTATAAGGGTTTGACGATGAATTTTTGTGTGGTGTTGTTGAATATGTGAGAGTGTTGGAATCAGATTAGTTTTTGACAAAATATATTGTTGATGTATGGTCGTTCTTGACTGTTCAAATGTCATAGTTTGTGTATAATAGTTCTTGGTAAGTGGATAATTAGTTGTATTGTGGGCTCAGTCTCAATGTCTGCTTACGTAAGCTGGCGGCGGTTATGGCACCATGGCTCGTGATATTATAGTGTATTAATTGTGTATTTGTTATTATTATTATCATTGTGCCATTATAATTTATGTGTAATGTTATTGCACTGATATATAATATTGATTTGATTATATGTGTATTGTATCCATTTTAATTGTTATTATGTATGTTTATGTTTATGTTAACTCTCATGTTGAGTTTCATGCATTTAATGTGAATTATTACTGTAGGTTGTTATGTTAGCGTATTTTTCATCATTGTTATCATTATTTTTTATTATTCATTATCATTATTATTATTATCTTGTTTCCTATCAATTTGTTTTGTTATGTTGTCATTAAGTCTATCATTAATCTCGTGATATCGTCGTATGCAATTATTGTCGTAATGTCAGTTTTGCATTAAGTATTATTTTGATATGATTAATATTCTTCTGTACTGGTTTTATTATTCTATGATTAATTATGCACTTGTCCCTCATGTGTGGCATATGTGTGTAGTGGATTCGTGATGTACATTCATATCGTTTGTATTTATGTAGCGAGTCTTGTATTGTTGTCTCCATTCAGATGCGCAAGATCTCTCCAATATATATGTTGTAATTGTATCGTTTTGTTGACTGTATGTGTATGTGATGCAATTATTATTTCGTTTATCTCGTATGGTGATTATTTAGTCAGGCTACTAGGTCTACTGATCACGCTGTGTGCACTAACTATTATTATTTATTTTATGATTGATTGGTGTGTTTCCATTATATTCAAAGTGTTTATGCATCATTTGATTTGTTGCATATACATTATTCAGTGTGTTCAATTATCTGAGTTGATCCCATATATTGGGTATATTTGTGTACTAGTTAGTCATTTATGCCATTAATGTGTCATTGATGTCTATGTCATTCTCTATTATCTGGTGTAATTGTAGTTTCGCAATTGAGTTGATTTTCATATCTGTGTGCTTTTAAATCTTATAATTTATTGATGTTTTATTGTTATTGTTATTTATGTATTCAATATTATTAATGATGTATAGTGTGATATTAGTCAATTTAATTGATGTTATATGTGTGACCATGTGTTTATTATCTCAAAATTGATGTCATGTCTATATTATTTTGCAACATGTGTGTGTGTGCACATGTTGTGTAGTTTACCTACCATTGTATGTGATTCGACATATTAGTCTCTGTTGTGGTGTCATTAGTCAGTAATCATAAATTATCATTCATAGTTTATGATGTGGCGACGTGTGCTGTAGTTTGTATTGTCATATTGTGTGATTTTTTATCCTGGTTATTGACTAGTAGTAAAGACATATTACGCATAGATGATAATAGTACGCTTCTTGATCGCATTTGATAAGCTCGCGTCAAACCCTCATTATCAATCTCTTTCATCATCACTACATTCGCAAGGAAGATAGAAAGAAAATGGAAAAAAAAGAAAAAAAAAAAAAAAAAAAAAAAAAAAAAAAAAATATATTATATATGGGTATAGTAGTTATATTACTACGTATTTAATTATACTGATAGTATAATGTATACTTATATATACCATGATATTATATAATATCTAACTTAAAGAAAATTATAATAGAAATTATAATAAAATAATAAGTGTGAATGTGTTGATGTGTGTAGTTGTAGTAGATTGTAATGAATATTATATGTAATATGATGATGAAATAGTGTTGTGCGTGTTGTGTAATAACTCAGAATTAAAAACTCAGTTTTTCATTGCGATGTGTGTCGTGAAATCTAGACTTAGTGATGCTGCTTGATTCTTCTCCCGTTGCTCGCCTCTTCTGTGTGCTGAAAGGTGCGAAACTATCGCCGGCACTGACACCATCGCTGCGTGTCGTACTCGTTCTTGTTCGTGCCAGCGTGGTGCACTATGACTCTAGTGTCTCTGTGTTGCGTGTTGTGTGCGTGCTTCCGTGTGCGATAGTGCGAGGTGCGTGTGTGTGACCTGATAACGTGCGACTATGCGTGCGTGCGGACTGTGTAGCGTCTGCGATTTGCGTGAGCGGTGAATACGTGCGTTCGATTCTGCATGTGTGCGACTGTTATGTTTGTATGAGTGCGCATGCGCGTGTTCGAATGCGTGTGTGCGTGTGGCGTTGCGTGGGGTTAGATCGCATACTGCTGACAGAAAAAATATTACAAAACATTTTTCATACAGAAAATCAGAAAGAAGCAAACACTTTCGCAGTGACACACCGGTAATCCTCAAAGAAAAATGGAGTGAAAGTAATGACCTGAACTTTGACCTTTCGTAACATAATCGCCTTTATTCTTTATCTCGTATGCGCTTCGCTTCTAAACAGCTGCACCTTGTTTCTGAGCGTAAATAGAGAATAGAAAAAGAGAGAAAATATCAACCATCTCCTCCATGAACATCACATGAAAAACACGGCGCTTCCGCTTTCTCGACCAGCTGATTGTTATTAGGCCTAGGCGAGTAGGCTCCGTTAGGAGTAATTGGAACAAAAGACACATCACCAATATTCGAGCATTATGCCCCATATGGCAGATTATTAATAAACAGCACATAAATGAATAAAAAATAAACTAGACTCCATTCTTACTCAGAGAGAATATATATAATAAGCGAACAATAGGAACAGGCTGATATTTAGACCTAAGCGAATTATCACTAAGAAATATAATTTATATAAAGTAATTCAGTTCCTTCGCCCCGAATCCACTGGAAGGCCAGGAGACCCAAGAAACCACATACAACAAACAAAGGAGTTCGCATCCTCACCGGTGCCGAGGTCCTCCCTGACGTAGAGGCAGCAGAGGGCACAGTGGGCGACGTCGAAGTATGGAAACATCTTTAACTTGGTGACCTGGTTGGCCATCTCTAAAAAGGCTTCGGGATCCATGTTTGCGGGTGTGTTCTTCCTCGGTTGGGGGAATACAACTCTTCCTCTTTCGTTTGTTTGTTATGACCTATGTATCTTTTTATTTCTGGACACCCACGAGGAATACGGGAAAGAGAGAGAGGGGGAGAAAGGCGTACGTCCTTCCTCGCGTCTGGGATCTCTCTGCCTGGTCGCTGGCGGCACCGCAGACGACGCGGAGAGGGTGCCGGCGAGCTAATCAAAATTCGATTATTGCATCGTATCAACGCCGTTATAAATGTTTGATTTAATATTTTCAAGAAACTTATTAACAGAAATAGGGTTTGTTTCTATTTGTGATTATGAAGGACTTAAAACAAGGAGAACAAAAAATATAAGTAGCACTCAGACACCTTGGACGAGGTGCCGACTAGAACATTTCAAATCTTTGTAATATGTCTTAATTTCTTCTTAATTTGATATTCCTAATCAAAATTTTTAATTATATCTACCATATCTTTACGTTTATGGGAAGTCTGACTTTATGTAAATTGAATAAAATTGCTGGGGAAAAAGGGAAATAGCAACATCGGATTCATAACCGAGTGCCAATTGATAAAATACAAAATATATTCGAAACAACTCACATTATATCTCATCTAAACTACGAAATTCCCTTGACACCTCATTAATAACGTTATTGTTAGTTAACATTCCCTGTCACCCACGGCGCATAATCACAAAATCAAAGATAAGTAAGTCTATCTGTAGAATGGCAGTGAGGACGCGCATGCTCCCCAGCAGACGACAAAAATAACCTTTGTAGCGTTTCCCTTTGAATTTCCCTTCTGGCCGTTTCATTTACATTTTGAATTTCCATCTACAAGTATAAGGAAATTGAAATTAAAGAATGTCAACTGCCAGCAAGACATTACCATGTAAAAGAATACTGTTATATCTGCATTGATGACTGGTATAAGATATAACAAAAAATAAACGACTTGAAAGGAGAGAGATGAGATGAGAGGAGAGGAGAGGAGAGGAGAGGAGAGGAGAGATGAGACATAAGAGATATAACTAAATTTTATGCATGCGTATTTGTTACTTGTCATTTTCGATTGGGTGGTATAAAATGAGAAAAAAAGGCAGTACTCAGTTAACTTTTCTTTGTCACTTTGTCACGATATAAGGACAGACTAGATTAGACAATACATAAACAATACACAATACATAAAGTTGACGCTCTCGATCTTTATTAATGCAACAGCTGCTTTGTGTAATAGGCGTGTTGAAATGCTAATTGAATGTATGGGAGTTTTTTTATCTAAACTATATCATAACCATTCATATAGCTATTATGTCATACCAGACTAGTATACATAGCATAAACACAAATACAAAGATCGAAAATTATTAATCTGTTGAATCTGGTATGTAATATTTTGAGAGTAGTATGTTTTTTTTCCGTGTTGATATTTCCCTCCTTGTTTGAATAACCGAAATAACACGTTTTTCATTCAATGCTTTGCGAATCTTGAAATACAATCCATCGTTTTGCGTAAAGGAGTATTAGATAGTATAAGTGAAAAATATCTTTTTCGAGTTCATTCGCCTAATTGTATAATCGAAAAAATCTGTATCCATTCTAGTTATAGTAGAGAAATCATGTGCATCTGGAATTCCTTTTATGTACAATATCATTTATCTAGTTTTTCATTATGATGTTAAAAATCAGCAAAGCAAGGGGATAATTCTCGCTGTACGACTATAATAGAAAATTCACTAACATAAATTAATGTTCTTTCCTCTTGGAAACTTGGATCCATTCTAGCTATCCAGCAGCCGGGCCAGTGAGGTCGTGCTGAGAATTGTGTAAAGTCTGCGTTAACTCGTTAATTTCTGCTTTTTCCGCCCATTTTGAAGATTAATTTACATTTCAGAAGACTACGTGGGTAAGAAAAGGTGAGAATCAAAGTAAAAGATTAAGTTCAGGAAGAAGAGTACCATAGAAAAGAAGAGAAAGAGAAATTCAGATTATTATGTATTTTGATATTTCAATGTAGGTCTATATTGTTTATGTTCATACCTAAGTGCTACAGATATAGGCTTGATAAAAGCAAAGTCCAAGCATATTTAAGAGTGAAGGAAAAAGGAAAAAGAAAGAGTGGAGGAGAAAGATAAGAACCCGAAGTATCAAATGACGTAGTTGGAGTCCCGTGGGTTTAAATATCATTACTAATATTACTCAAAATACTGTACTTATGTAATGTGGCTTTTATTCAATATTTAAGCTCATGAGAGAAGTGTATCTAATTCAAGTGAGGAGAAATTAAGGCCATTGAAGAGAGGTGAAGGACAGGTCTGTTACACAATCTGAGCAAATGAATTAGTCAATAAAAATTAATGAAAAAGATTTTCACATTTTAGATGAAACCAGATGCAGTAGATGATGATGAAACTGGGGTATGATTTAGATTTCCCAAGGCCATATAGTAGAAGATGAAATTTGCCTGTGATGGGCATAATGACCGAAATTAAGACACTTTTCATCTATGGTGTTACCTTCGCTACTTGATTATTAGAAAGTTGTGCAACATGTAATGATCTGGTTTACATTCACAGGAAAATGTAATGGCACTATGATAATCAATGCGAAAAAAACTGAAACACATGAAATTCTAACCAGAGTAAACAAAAAATAACGTTAGAAATGCAGTAAATAGATCGTGACAAAGTCCACAGTGATCAGACGGTAGTCTAGGGTAAAGCCTCCGATAGGTAAGTACAGTGATTGGATAGGGATCTCCAGGTTAGGAAGATATTTAGTTCATCCCTATTACTCTAGGACTGGCTAGAGTAATACGGACTTCATCGCAGAGGGGTAAGGTTACTTCATAAATATTACCGATACTTTCATTTATATCATTTGTGATAGAAAATAACAGGCGATCCATCCCTATTACAACGATAATTGAAAGAAGGACTTATATGACCTACAACATCGCATTTTGCCTCATCATTATTTCGGCTTTTATATTTCACTTACAGTAAATGTTCAGAGGATTCCCAAACTAGCAGCACTAGCCTTTGGTGGATGAAAGTACCTACCTTATATATAGGAGCTGCTAAAAAGATCGAGAAACCTCCACCATATTGGTAGACATTTGAGTGGTAATTCTTTACAATATGGACATACCCGCAGCCTGAGGGGAAGGTTCAAAATCTCCCGAGAAACATTGTCTTTACCTTGGTATGCATGGAGAGATAGAGCTGAAACTTTGGGTTACCAAGTGGACTTAGCTGACTTTTTTTCTTTTTTGCGGCATTGCCATTCATTTCTGCTGATTATTTCATGTACTGACAACTGCAACTTTTAGGTCCTTACAAGAATATAATTTTCAAGTTGCCCTACCTTATGTGTCCATACTGTAATGATTAACTGCACCAAGATAAGGAGAATCTAATGACACTGTTATACATATGGCAAAATTGCACTCTTCAATACCTGAAATAATCTGCACAGGCAAAGAATAATGTCAGAAATTATAAAAATACTTGTAAGTCCATGGCAATTGGGTGGGGGACTGCGGATAAAGCCCCAGGGTTAGGAAGGTCACTTCATAAGCGATTGCTGTTTATTATTGATGTTTTGCCTCTGGATAGCCTCATTATACCATTCATGATTGTATCAAAGCCAGGACTTTAGCAGTGGACGTATGAGATAAAACCAGCACTCTGGTTTCCCAGTCGTGTTTATCATCATGTTTAGACTATCCAAAGGGTTTTCCCTATCAATCTCAATTTCGATTAATAGGCTACTCAGTTAACACACATCACACATAGCACTTATCACACTTTAGGATAAATTAGGAAGGAGTCTGAGCTCTTTATCTTGCAAGAATATAAGTCATGGGGGACTTGTAGGCCATTGGTATTATAATTAAACAAAATCACTTTGAAAACCGATGCAGGTGTTTCTGAATATGTAGACTACCCTTTACATGTGTAAAAACTCCTTTTAAGACATATTGTACGAATGTAATAGGATTCATATAATTGCTCATAGACAGCAATGGTCATGTTATGTGGATCATAGGGGTAAGGGGATGTATGTGACAATTTTAAATGAAATTTTACCTTGAAAGTTAAGAAAATCATACATAAGAGTTTTCTTCAATATCAAATCTCGGTGCCATGCATAGGGGCCCAATTTTTCAAATGTCAATGAGGTAAATGGTGAACATTTGATATTTCAAAGAGCTAACACCAGAATATACACATCACATACTTAGAGCATTGTAGAACATTAAAAATAAATAAAGTTATTGCTTGAAACTTTGAAAATAGAAAGCTCTGCATTTCAATAAGTCAAATTATTACACAGCAAAGTACACATAATTGTTTAGCTGGATACAATATGGCAGAGAGTAGCTATATCATATAATAGTCCCGGTTTCATAATTGAAAGGATGAAAACTACCAACCAGTTATGGACAGCTTGGCCGTGACTTCAGACTTGATGGATATAATGTAGTATCTGACTTTTTAGAGGTTAAATTATCTATATGTAATATACTATGATGCATTACTCTCAAGTTTTTAGTTCATTGCAGACTACATATAAGCTTTGTAACAGCTTATTTATTGTTGGTATAGCACTATGTTTTATGATTCCTATTTCCCTTTTTATTTATCAGTCACCTTATCCCACAGTACAGACAAGATGGGCAACACAGTCTCAGCAGCACACAGTACAGCCACATCACTTACCAGCTTGGCTCTCGGAGAAGGAAAGGGCGTAGTCAATGCATCGGAGCTGGTCATTGAGAGCCACCCAGAAATCACCAAGGACATGGCACCTGCTGAGTGCCCCATGCATCAGGAGACTGCTCAGGCCCCTGCCCCTCCCAAACAGTGTCCTGTCGATCACACCAAGATGAGTGTGGAGGCTGCCCCTCCCAAACAGTGTCCTGTCGATCACACCAATATGAGTGTGGAGGCTGCCCCTCCCAAACAGTGTCCTGTTGATCACACCAAGATGAGTGCTGAGGCTACCCCACCCCAGAAGGCCCATCACATTCCCCCGGGTACTGTCATCCCCTCCGAGTGCCCAATGCATCAGAATAACCAGGAGCAGCAGACATCTCAGGTATAGATAGGTTGCCTTGATAAGGGAGATGAATTGTGGGTTTTGGAATTCAATATTTTTGAGGAGAATAATAGGGGAGAAGAAATTGACATTGTTCATTTTTATCATAGAATATATTTCTTTTCTGCTGGTTTTATCATTACTGTAATGTCTTGTTTGCATTTATGATTTGTTCATATAACCTCTTTCCTTTAATTTTTTTCAATACTTGTTTTAGTATTTTCCTCTATCATCTTTTCTAGTTTTTTCAGTTTATTTGATTCTTTACTTTTATGTATATACTTATTTGTCACTTTTTTTACTCTTGACAGGCATTCCCGAGTGAGTGTCCAATGAGTGGCAACCCAGATGCCGAGTGGCCTGTACACCAGGCAGGCATGCATTTAGGCAAAGAGTATGCAGGCAAGTATGTGGACATCAACCCCCTCAACATGGAGTCCTACCCGAACCAAAAGCCGGCCCCTGACCAGCCCTTCGAGTTACCCACTGAGAGACAGGTAAGGCTCATGGGGAAGGGGAAAGGGAAGCTGGTAGTTGCTGTAGAGGTTTTGTGTATGTGATAGAGAGTGGGGAAAGATAATTGAATGCATAAGTGTTTGTGTGTGTGTGTGCATTCATGGGGTTGTTACAGAGATATAGAAATTGAGAATGAGAATGTGTGAATGTGAGAAAGTGCGTGTGAATGCTAGTGAATTGCATGTGTAAATGTAAGAGAATACAGGTGTATACGTGAGAGTATAAAGTGGAGAGTGAAACAAAAAGAAATCTTCTAAAGAGAAATAAAATTTGGCTTAACAAGGGACATTATATGACACTTTGATTAATAGCAAATCCTTCCCTGCACTTTCAGGTGTCAACTATCCCGAAAGCAGGTTCAGATTCCGAGCACTGGGTGTACCCTTCCCCACAGATGTTCTGGAATGCCATGCTGAGGAAGGGCTGGAGGTGGAAGGATGATGACCTCTCACAGAAAGACATGCAACACATCATCAGCATTCACAATGTCAACAATGAATTGGCTTGGCAAGAGGTAATGTTAAGAGATGGCTGTTTTGATTGTATGATATCAGTGTAAACCGGCACTCACATACATATTTTTATCTATACTGTGCCAATCATGATATTAAAATTAGGTGTCTTATATTCAACCAAAAATGTTACTGCATCAAATTCTCTAAAGTTATTATATATTTGTCAAATTGCCATTTAAGTCCTCCAGCCCGCTCTTGACTTTTTTGTACATGCGTTTTCATGTGACCTCCTCAATAGGGACTGTCTAAAATCTCTGAAAGCACCTGTTTACATAATGAAATGCATCAAAATTGGAGACTCGATGATACTGAATCCTTTGGATCTGGTTACATCACAGAAATTGCGATACTGAAAACCCGGGCAATGGGTATGTAAGTGGCCAATATCCCGGGCAAGTGGCATGTAGGCCGGGTGCGCATGAACACCTATGAGCAATGACAAGACGCTGTGCCTCCCCTTTGCAAAATTATTTTGTGTAAACTTTTTTTAGATTTATTGCCATTTTCCAATGTCCATATTTGTCTTTTGATTTGCTTTATCCAGATAGTTATTACCTATTTATCTTGCACAGACTCCATATCATCTCTCTATGTAGTAAATAACTCGGTGCAACAAAAAAAATATGGAACATTTGGTTATTTGTCATATATCTAATTTTTTGTAATTTTCAATCTTACATAATACGATCTGTACCACCAGTCACAGCGACCAGGAATACAGTGCGCAGAATAGAAATGGCATCCTCCTTGGAGCCAGCGCTTTTCCAGTCACTGCTTATGCATGTTACATAACATATTTGTTTTTTGATAGAAATAATGCTAAAGCTCCCTTCTAAGTGCCAAATGAGTCAAATCACACTCCAAGAGGTTTGTGCATTTGTGACGAGTCTTTTCCGTCACCCTGGCCTTCGCACATGACAGCAGTTCGTGTCACCTGTACCACGGCCAATTTGCCTGGCTGACAGCATGTTCTCTTCACCCGCCCCTCGGCTCAAGTTTTTCTATGACATGACTGCAGTATCATCTGGGTCCAATGGGTTAAGAGAATGGTAGTGTGTGTAAGACTTATAAGCACCCTGTGATAATCTCTTTCAAATTGTGAGAGCCAAACCTTTTTTGACTGTGAAGCAAAACACAAGGATCAGGAACTGCTGCAAGACATGTTTTTGGATTTCCAGCTTTGATGCATTTAACCAAGTGTGAAGGGTGTTTTGGGATATATGTAGACCCACTATTTCTGCCACAGACGTACTTCATGCATAAACACTTCAATGTGAACAAGTGTTTCTTGCCTATGATGCAGGCATACACATTTGAGTATGTTTGTAGAATTTTATTTTTTATTTTTTTGTAAATGTCAAAATGAAGTTGGAGATTAAGAATTGGCAATATCTTCCTCTGAAGGTTGCAAGGCACCTGAATGGGTTACTAGATGTGTAAAATGTCTTCACAGAGACTGATCACAGTAATATTAGTGTGGTTAATAACTGGAGAGAAATTCACCCCAGAAGCATGTATATTATCATATCACGTGGCACCACTATGTATGAGGATTCTTTTCTATCACATTTTTCACAATCAATCTACTTTTTTTTTTTTTTTTTTTTTCCTATTTCATATTTATATCTTCTTGTGCCTCCTTACTCCTCTGGCCTTCCTCTTTGTTCTTATCTTTGTTTTTCTTCTTAACCAGATCCTCCTTGTTAGCATGTTTCTCTGTGTTCTTTTCCATCTCATTGCCCTTCTCTTATCTACCTGAACTTTCTTGTTGAATGTTGCTTCCATGCTCCTTGCCTGTCTGCTCCTCCCCTTCCTCTTCTCTGTTTGTCTCCTCTTTCTCCTCTTTGTCTACATCCTCTTCCTCCTCTTCATATCTACTTCCTGACTGTTTATGTCCTCTTTTTCCTCCCCATGTCATCTCCTTCCTTGTATGTCTCTTCATTCTCCTTGAGTATCTCTTCCTCTTCTGCCAGGTCTGTATTCTCCTCCTGGTGTACATCCTCTTCCCTTGTCTGTCTCATCTTCCATGGCTATCTCCTCATCCTTGGCCATCTCTTCCTCCTACCTATCTATCTCCTTCCACCTTCCTCCTGCCCCACCTCTTCCACAAAGATCAAAGCTCATGCTTTTTTGTGTTGCAGGTCCTAAAGTGGGAATCCCTCCACAAAAATGAGTGTGGGAACCCCAAGCTGAAGCGTTTTGGTGGCAAGGCATCGGACTACTCTCCCCGGGCTCGCATGAGGAGTTGGTTGGGGTAAGCATGATTTATTTTGAAATGTTTCAGAACTTCTTAATGGCAAAGTTTAGAGCTCCATCTGTACATAGGTGAGAAAGAACATGTAGTTTTGCTGAAAATTTCACAGATGCTCTATGAAGTTTAATCATGTAAGCCCAAAACCAGCACCTGGGATGACCCCTCAGGAGCCAGGGCTGGAGCCAGGCAGTAGCCAGACACAAAGCAGCAGGCTCTAGTGCACATTGGTCTCGGCAAACTTCATTTGAAATTTTACCAGTCCTGAATGGGTTAATCAAATAAGAAATTATTTTTAGATATTGAAGGGTGACACAAATAACAAAAATTTGCATATTACTATTGCACAGAGTTGTAAACTTCCTAGTGGGATTTTATGGAGTCTGCAAGAAAGTATTTTACTATCTTGATAAAGCATATCAAATAACAGATATAGACTTAACCTAGTGGTCGCAAATAGCTTGATTTGATGCGAAGTGCCATATAGGGCCAATTGCATGGAGCAGCAGGTGGCTGTGTGCTCGGGGAGCTGTTCGGGCAAGGGGATGTCAGACGCCAAGGAGTTGGCCTCCTTATGGCCTTCCAGGGCCTAGGCCTACCCCAAGGGGATGTTACCCGCCAAAAGAGTTGCATGCCTTCGGTGCCTGCTACAGCCAGGCCTTCCATTCTCTCTGAGCGCATTTACATATGTTTGCATGCCTGCATATATCTGCAAGGGTTTTCATATACATACACAAACATATATGTGTATATATATACATATGCAAACATATATGTACCAAGGAGGGAAAGCAACATTGCCATAGAGGGCACTCTCCTGCATGGTTTCCCACACCTCCTGAGCGTAAAATAAATACTGCTATGGGACTGAGCCATGTTACATAATATCGCAACCAGTGGTCTAAGAAAATTGCAAAAAAGCAAAAGATGCTTATGCAAAAAAAGAGATAATATTGCAAAAGGGAGGCAAGGATTCATAACACTACACATGAGTGTTCATGTTGCTATGGCCTACAAGCCATATACCTGGGAGAGTCCCCAATTCTGTCTAATGCCTGATTTGTAGCCTGTGTGTGGTTAGTGAGGGACTCAGAGCAAATGGGTTAATAGGCATTATATTGGTAATGTCAATAATGTTAACCACTTCCCAGTGAATGGCATGTACATACATGCCATGGCTGTTGTGGACAAAGTAGTGGGTGGCATCAGACACGACCATTCCTGTGCCGTCGGCTTATTGGATTGAGCATGTTTTTCTCCAATAGTAGTAGAATAATTTTTATGGAAAAACTGTTGGGCAGTAGCACATGAAGTGAAAACTTTCAAAAATTTTACAATTAATAAAACTGTATCAAAATGCAAGCTTTTAGGTGCCTAATGTTGCCAGCAAACTACGGAACAAGCCATATAGATGGCTCCACAAGTACTAAGTCACCAATGAGCCAATACACCAATGAGCCAATAATGTGAACTACCTGTCACGCCTGTTTACCCTTTTCTTTGATTTCAATAATATTTTCTTATATTATTACTGCTGTTTGTAATGTCAGTAACAATATAGTAATTATAATGTTTATAGCAAAAATAAGTGTCAATATAGATAGCATTAGTAAAAAAAAAAAAACATTTTTGTGCTTATTCAAGGAAAAGGGAGGACTCCTTTGTGGCTAAGCATTGGCAGAGCCATCTATGTGCAGAAACATGTAAGCAAGCATTACCAAAGGGAACGCATCATTTTCCTGTCGACATTGGGTTAATAGTATTGTTGACAGTGATATCACAATCACTAGAAATGCTATTTAACTAGGATAAATTATATGTGGGTTTCAGGATCAGCTATTAGGCTATAGCATGTCCCATGTCTAGTGGATAGTTAGTTTGATGTGGGAGTTACAGATAATGAGAAACAAAAGGATGGGAGTTCAGCTCAGTGAAAGTAACCTAGAAAAATAAGGAAAATGGGAGTGAACATTTATGATAAAATAGGAAGTGTATAGAGAGGGGTTGTATGAGCTGGACAGATAGGGCAAAGAAAGGGAGAGATTAAGGGAAGTAGAACAGATTATGGTCATTAAGTACAACAGAAGAAGAAAAGGAAAAAGAATCGGCTACAGCATCATAGCAATAGTGTAGGTTTTATCATTTTGCCATGGGGCATCCACATATTTATGTATATAGCATACATGCAACACCCAATCCAGCCTTTTAGTACCCATATGACCGAGATTACTTGATCTTAAAAGAGAAAAAAAAAAAAAAATCTCATTGAGAGTTCCTTGTTCTATGTAGGTAATGATGATTTTTCTCTTTATTTTGTTTTATGTATATGTTTATATATATATATAATTTTTTTCTTCTTTTTTTTCCTGACAAGTTTGAAATGTTACATTTATTTTCAGTTCACAGTTCAGCATATCTTTTATCTTTAAATACCATACCTTAGTAAACTAAGGTATGGTATTTGCATAGCATTAGCTTCTTTAAGGGGAAGAGTCGTCGGTACGGTCACGAAATTCGTTATCCGATCCTGCTTACTTTAGTTTTTTAGCTAGGTCAATAATTTTTTTACACAAAGTGCATGGGTATGTGGTGCTTGTATTTAAGAAATTTGATTAAAAAAGCTGCGTAAATTTTTGCGCAAAAAAAAACAAAAATGAGCGAGATGATAGAATTAAAAAATTATGTGATGGTTTCCTTATAGTGAATAGTACTGCAGTTTCCTTCTGACCAGAGTTAGTCAACAAATAGGAGTACCAAATGTAGCATTTATGTAAATCTATCTGAAACGACAATGTTTCAGTTACCTTGCAAAAAAGAGCTTTTTTTTTTTCGTCCGAAAATCGCCATTATTTTTTTCAGTAAAAAATGTATTTGGTGGAAATAATGCATGACTTTGCTACAGTTAGTAGATACGAACTGGACGATCATTTTGCAACAAGAATTATTAAAATCGCATAATTACATACAAAGTTAACCTTACTATCATGTGTGAAAATATGATTTTGAGAAAATGGCAATTTTTGTCATTTATCGTCATTACATCATAAAAGTCATACCAATGATTACCAAATGTGAATATCTACTTAGACAATACCTTGGCCTTTAGTATGAGTCCTGTGGTAGAGGGTCAGGCCTTGTTCAGGTAATTTTAGGTCATCTTTATGTCAAGGTTAGGTTAGGTTAGGTGGGAGTGTTCTCTGAAAAGTATACTTTCAGATGTCAAGGCTCCTGGTTCCTCTGTCATTTACATATCATAGTACATAATAAATCGTATATTATGCATTTCTGATATATAAATGACATAATGTTAGGTTTTCAACAGGTTGAAAACAAAACATTGTGTTCTCCCGAAAANTATGCATTTCTGATATATAAATGACATATTGTTAGGTTTTCAACAGGTTGAAAACAAAACATGTGTACTCTCGAAAACTTTATCAATCGCACTGTTCTCCCGTCCTTGCTGCTGCTGCCTGTCTGCTGAACGCAGCCTAAACTATTGTACAGCAGCATCATACCAAAGAAATTCGCAAAAACAGCCGAAAAAATGCTGAAAAAACAAGAAAAACAAAGCATGAAGCAAAAAGGGGTGTGGCAGTACAAGGGCATTTAAATACCCCAGACCTTTAAACCGCGGAAAGGAGCGTGTTACACATCTGGCAACCGGCGCCCTGGGTGCGTCACATGGTCATGTATCCACACACAAAGTTTGAAAAAATCGTAATTTGTGAAACGTACAGACGACTCTTCCCCTTAAGCAGGGAACGGTACAGCGCTTGGCCTATCGGCAAGAATTCTTGCCCAAGCGCTTCCCTGCTTAAAACGCTTTTAGACTTAGCACCAGGCAGGTGCAGTTCTTGGTTCAATAATTACCCTTCCTGTTGTGCATCCAAGGTCTAGGAAGAAAGTGGCTACCTACCCTGGGCTCTTGAGCAGTCTGATTTGCCAAGTTTTTTTATTCTCACTAGCCGATACTCAGCTATTTATATCAAAAGATATCTACAATATTTTTAATTGCTTTTTATCAAAATACATTGCCTCTAACATCACTTTTTTTTTTTTTTAGTTTTCTTAAGAGAACTTGGTGAATCAGCTTACTCCAGAGTATGACACATTACCAGGCTTTGCTTTTCAGAGTTTGGATACACTAGCATTTTCTTTCCGGCAATTGGCTGAGGTATATTGCAAAACCTACCAAGTTCCTTCAAAAACATATAAAAGTTTATCAGGTTTACAAGTAACTCTACAGATTTGTAACTCCAAATTAAATTTGCCTATCACACTCCATTTACTCATTTGATTTCTGACCATTGTCTTCCTGAGCTTAGGCAGGTCAAGGGATGCAAAAGCAAGATTAGTTATCCATGACCAATCTTGGTCAAATAAAATTCTAACTGAATCTAGAACTTATAATTGTTGAAGATATGAAGAAAATGATATTCTGATTATTATCAACTTATGATGCTAAGTTTAAAAAGTTGGTATATTAGGCTTATATACAGAATAAAATTATATTTATTCCCGGACAAAGGCAATGAAAAAAAGAATGACGGATTAATGTTTAAGGTACCAAAATATGATATATTTGAAATTAAAAAAAATATTGCCAATCTATATGGTGTAGCTATCGCCATGAATGTGAAGAAAAAAAAAAAGTGTACTCACATGAGTGCCTTTGATGAGCATTTAATTGTCATACAGCAACCAAATTTTTCAGTCACTGATGATGTTTAAAGTATATATAAGCTGGGGAATTTGGGAGGAGGTTACTGATGAAAACCAGTATCTATTTTTTCTTCTTCTTAATAAGGTAATCATTGTGGTAGTTTGTATATCTAGGTTTGCGTTCATTTGTAGAGTTGGGGTCTTATGGGTATATGCTTACACCAATAACTAAAACAATTTCTTCACTAAAATCTTCATGGCAGTTGCAGGACTGTCAGTTGCATGAATTGAATGTTCATATTCTTTTGTCTTATTCTGGTATACCAATTATTTCTGGG